TACACTTCATGCTTATTCTCGCCTCTGGTATTGATGCTTAAACTATGATCTGTATGGCACATTGCCACGTTTTCGATACAGTCAGACTCCAATAAAAGGTTTGTTGTAAAACATCATATATTTGCGCAGATGAATAACATGCCGATGATGGCACATGTCATGACGATAGCATCAAGTAAATAAATAAATAACTTTCCAAATGTCCTATTTATACGAAAATACTGGGTACGATCTATTTAGTTGCCGTAGGCGGGCTTGTAGGTAGGCTTGTAGCTCTGCTGAGGGTAGCTGGGCTTGTAGCTGGGCTTGTACTCGTCGTAGCGGGCCTCACCCTCGTAGGTGACCTCAGCAATGTTGCCAGAGTAGGCGTCATCCACACGGTAGGTGACCGTCTGGGTACGGCCGTCGGGCAGCACAACCGAGTAAGATCCCTGGGTGGCGTAGCCGTCACGCGCCTCCTGAGCGTTGAAGATGGGCTCGTAGTCTCCGTATCCGTGGACGTCGTAGCTGTAGTCGTACTTGGGCGGCTGGTCGTAGCTCTCCTGCTTGTAGGGAGCGGGCTTGTAGGCCGGCTGGGGGTGGTAGGCGGGCCTGGGCGCGTAGGTCGGCCTGTAGGTCGGGGCGTAGGTGGGCGCCGGAGTGGTGTAGGGCGCGTTGTCGGCGGCGACAACGGCCAGCAGGGCGGCAACCACGAAGAACTGAAACATAGAACAACGTCGAATTCATATAAAGCGACATGGCGAATGACTGTTTTGCATTATCACCAATCCAATGGTTGTTCAATATTTGATGGCATCTCTCATTCACGAAATTTTCCACACCATTCTTCCTTCCTTGAGACCTTGGTTTACCAGTCCTCCCAATCACAGCTTCGGTTTGAAGAGCACCTACCTTCATGTTCAGAGTGCTGTGGAGCTGTGTGATCAACTGATGCCGACCTGCGGACCGGAGCGGCTTTATACGGCTCGGAGTCGGGCCGTGACCTAGACATTCGCAAATGGACGGGCGTGGTCGGATGACGTGCCGGCCGAAGGCGATGTTCAATCAGATAGATCTTGTGAACTGAAGATAATTCTACAATGGTCTGTCGGGCTGGTATGGGTAATCGTGAGTGGTATCCTGTATCTACCCCTAGTGCAAACCCAGGTCAGTGGGATAATTTTTCTTTTTGTTGTGGCCGCGTGGCATGAAATCTAATGTCTTAACCCGTGAGCTGCTGGGATGGGGGGATGATATTTTAACACCCCTTACGGCTTACCTCAAAAATCTCTCAAGTGACATCACCTCACGAAAATGTCTAATGATCGTCACAGCTACACCAACTGACTACACCGATCCTGGCACAGCAGGATTTACTGGCATCATGTTATATTTTACATTAATTGTGCATTGCTTGAGAACGTCTCCATTATTGTTAATGGTTCGTCCATCTACACATGATACAATTGCATCTACATCAAATTATGCCAATTAAGAAATTGAAACCTATCTACCTATGTATGAAATGCATAAATATTTCGGAATTTTGATATTGGTGACCTAAGGTCAGGTCAGTTTTGCAACCATTCTATTACCTATTTATTCCAGCTGTTAGGAATTGAAACCTATCTATCTATGTATGATATTTCGGAATTTTGATATCGGTGACCTAAGGTCAGGTCAGTTTTGCAACCCTTCTATTACCTATTTATTCCAGCTGTTAGGAATTGAAACCTATCTATCTATGTATGAAATGCATAAATATTTCGAACTTTGATATCGGTGACCTAAGATCAGCTCAGTTCTGCAACCCTTCTATTACCTAATTATCCAAGCTGTTCCGTGCTTGTTATTTTCCTCCCGAAGGACCCAACATGACCTCCTGTTCCTGAAGGGTCTCTGCTCGGAAAAGAAATGCCTGAGATACCCCTATGCCGATAGCTCATACGCGTGCCTACCCAACGGACACGCACTTCAGCAGTTTACTGTGGGCCACACCCGCATCAGTCAAAACGGGCTGGACTATCGTGTGACGTGTCGCAAGTGAGACAAAGTCATTCCTCGCATACTCCAAAGACGACTGCTTCACGTCCAGCTTATTTTACGTTGTACGAAGCTCACGCCATGAAATACGCTACGAGCTCACCGTCACCTCCTTGCTGCCATTCATTGTTGGTACTTGATTTTTCTCATCATTGTTACTTTTGTTGCGCTTTATGTTTGTCTCATTTAATTTCTACTTTTTACTCATTTATGTCGTTTTACTCATTTCCGTGTTTATGAACTATGCCCCGTTTGGCGTTTATCTGTTATCGTTCATGTTTCGCTGTTTCTGCATATATTTCTGGTTTACCCTGTACCTGCATGATTTTTTCTCCGACTTTACGTGGACTTTTAAAACTTTCATGCTAATTATCGTTCACAACTACTTTTTTATTTCAACGTTTTTACGTCATCACGTATTGTTTTGCATGTTTCATTGTATTTTTCACGTCTGTTTGCATTTTATGTTAGAGCGTAGGTGTCGTGTGTTTCTGTGTGGTGCTTGTGTGTCATATTTGTTCCTTTTACTCTTGTGACTCCTTCTTTTAGTGGTTGCCTATTGACTATCTATTTAGTAAATTTTAAAATAAGTAAATTGCAGTAAATTGCACCCCGCCCCGGACATCTCTTTATGCACCTGAGGTCATCTCAGATCATGAAAGGTTTCCAACAGTTTTCACATTTACTTTTTTATATAAACATGCTAGAGCGAGGAAAACACCTTGAGGCTGTTCAGCTCTTCAATACAGATCGACTGATATGTGCTATGATCGTTTCCGGTCGCGTCATGACCTCGACCTTAGGTCAGCTTTTAACCCGCGCACCGACGGGGGGGGCGGATATCCGCCCCCCCCCCCCTGAGGTTTTTCGCGAATAGCGGGAAAACCGCGGCGCGTAGCGCCGCGAAATTTGGTACGACTATTCCCTCATCAATTTTACACATGGTGTGCAAGTTTGAACCTCCTACCTTTTAAGGTCAGGTCACCAGGGCCTCGTTTCATAAAGCTCTGCCGTAACTTACACCTTTCCGTAATTCACACCCTTTCAAACTACGGAGCGCGAATGAAGCCGTTTCACAAAGCCACAACTGGCATTGTTTACACCTCCGTAACTAAGCACATTTGCGTAGTTACCGTAATTTATCAACAAGCGTCCTACAAATTACAATTTCATGTCAACACTGATTTTTTACGAGAAATTATAAACAATTATGTTGAATTTAAATCTTAAAAAATTATTTATGAAAAAACAAAATTGATACTGATGACCATCCTTTATTAAATCAATATATTGAAAACAGCAGAAAGCCAGCTAAGCAGAAGTGCCTAACTACGTAAGTGGCGCGGCGCGGCGAATAAACAAAATTCCGATAGTGGCCACAAAAAGCGACTGGTACAGAAGATTGGCAGTTTCTTTGTCTCGTTTTGGTTGTTCTTTCTTCCTCACCGGGCTCAACATTATAAAATATATCAAAAATTAGCTTCGAATCTTCACATTAATTCAAATTCACGCAACATTTTCGTGCGTAGTTTACACCACTGATATCAAGAACTTGATAAAATATTTGGCGTTAATTACGTCGTTTTATGAAATCCAAATGGCATCAATTGGTCCGGAATCGAGCATTTGCCGTAAATGAAGCTCCGTAATTTCGATGGCGTGAACTACTCCGGTCTCCGGCTTTATGAAACCGAATTGGCATCAAATACGCCAAATCTGGCATAATTGACGGAACGCCGTAAGTAATTCCTTTTATGAAACGAGGCCCAGGTCACTTTGAATGACCCAACCTCAAGTCACTTTTTTGCAACTTTGTCACCGTGCCAGAGCTACAGTAGATGTCGGAGGCCTTTGAAAGTCGCAGGATGTTATAAGGTCATTAGTAGCTACAATTTGTATATCTCGGAATTTTGATATCGGTGACCTAAGGTCAGGTCAATTTCGCGACCTCCCCATTATAAGTCAATGGGGGAAAAATCAACTCCCTATTTTTACCACTAAAACGGGTCGGAACGGCCCCATATACCATACATGACTTCATATACGATCAACCTTCACTACCTTGAGGTCTGTTTTGCTGTTGGGCAGCTGTGAGGTCATGTGACGTCATCAAAGGTCACCAAAGGTTTTTGGCCAATAACTCCGTACAGGAACAAGATAAAGCCGCGTGGATGGTCTCATTGTGTTCAGCTCGTCAAGACGCATCGAATGATATACATGATGACCTCGAGGTCACGTGACCTGAGGTCAACCTTTGACCTTGACCTTTCGAGGTCAACATATATATCATTCGATGCGGATTGACGAGAGGATCACGATGATGCCCTTAGTTTGCTCCTATCTTGACTAATTCGAAAGTTATTCGAGAAAAACTCTCCATATCTAGCGCCGCCATTTTGAATTTTTCGACCCCTGTGACGTCATCTTTGACCTGACCTGAAAATGACCTTAGTAAAAATTGTAGATCTTGACCGTGCGCATCCGATGCCGTTTACCGCTTGTCGCTATCTTGCTTCGTTCTCGAGATCTCAGGGGGGGCGGTCATCCGCCCCCCCCCCGTCGGTGCGAAGTTGGCGCAGACCCCCGTCGGTGCGCGGGTTAAGATTACCTTTTTAGTTCAAGTTGTAGTTACCTCGGACTTTACCTCAGACCTGATAAACCTTACTTCAGAATCAGAAAGTCGCCATGCTCGTCATAGCTACACCTACTGAACAATCACTTTGAAGCTTTCTACGATTGATAAGAGCAGCAGTAAGTCTATAAAATGTCCCTAGGAATTTAGGCATCGCTGACCTGAGTTGAGTTTCTCAGATACGAAGGGCTTACTCAATGCAGACTTGAATACGATAACTTGAATTTATTGACAACGGACATCACACAATAAATAAAGCACAAACAGAATTCATTCAAGCATACAATACACTTATTTGTGACTTAGTTGCCGTAGGCGGGCTTGTAGGTGGGCTTGTAGCTCTGCTGAGGGTAGCTGGGCTTGTAGCTGGGCTTGTACTCGTCGTAGCGGGCCTCACCCTCGTAGGTGACGTCAGCAATGGTGCCAGAGTAGGCGTCATCCACACGGTAGGTGACCGTCTGGGTACGGCCGTCGGGCAGCACAACCGAGTAAGATCCCTGGGTGGCGTAGCCGTCACGCGCCTCCTGGGCGTTGAAGACGGGCTCGTAGTCTCCGTATCCGTGGACGTCGTAGCTGTAGTCGTACTTGGGCGGCTGGTCGTAGCTCTCCTGCTTGTAGGGAGCGGGCTTGTAGGCCGGCTGGGGGTGGTAGGCGGGCCTGGGCGCGTAGGAGGGCGCGCTGTCGGCGGCGGCAACGGCCAGCAGGGCGGCGACCACGAAGAACTGAAACAAAATACGATGCTCAATTCATATCAGCGATACTGCGGCGAAGAATCTTTCGATTTGTTACGAAGCTGTTCTAATGGCTGCTCAATATTTGAAACCATATCCCATTTCGCCAAGTTTTTCATACCATTTCCCTTCCTTTCGACCGCTCCGCCTGGGTTTACTTAACAAAAACCTCCAAATACAGCTGCGGCTAGGAGAGCACCTACCTTCATGTTGATTGTGCTGTGGGGCTGCGTGATCAACTGATGCTGACCTGCGGACCCGAGCGGCTTTATACGGCTCGGAGCCGGGCCGTGACCTAGACATTCGCCGATGGACGGGCGTGGCCAACGCAGGGGCGCTCCTGAGGACGAGATATTATGTCAGATAGCAGTGAGGTATACAACTGTACGGGATATCCCAGCAGTTTTGCAACATCGTAATGGCTTGGTTTTCAGGACTGCCTTTTTTGTTGACATTCTTTTATTCGACAAGCAGATAACCATCACGAAGCCGCGTGTAGCGAAGCTGCACAGCTTCTCGCCGGTATTTCTAAACATTTTTTCAGACGCTGCTCGAGCTGGCTCGTGCTGATACAGGCTTTCCTTCACAATTGTTCACGTATTTTCAAATGAATTTAGGTCGTGGAGGCTGCCCGGTCCTTCTTCTTTGTCCCAAAACACTTAAAAGATATTTCGCAATTCGCGCCCATATTTTCTAGTTTATTTTACGTTGTGCCCTGGTGCTTCATCGTGCGTGGAAATTGTCCTGACGTTGAAGCGCAGAGTTTCCATTCCGTGACGGCGCCGTTGTGCTCGTACGCCCGACCGCTGCTTTGAATGAGCCTTGCAGGATTTTTGACACGGTGCTCGTCGTGTTGAATGCCTGCTTTGGGGATGCAACGTAAAGCCAGTAAACCCTTTGCGTTCATTTCGCCCCATACTATGAGCTTAAGAAGATGTTTGTGGTGGTTTCAATCCCTGGTACTTGGTATTCCAATTTTGTCCGCTCCGGTCGTTTATATTGTCTGGTTTCTGGCTAAGGCAGACTACTTGGCCGCAAGATTACTTTACTACTCAGGTTGGTTCACTAGGGAAAAAAAGGCGCCGTAGTTACGTCACGGATTTGGTAGCAATCTGGTAGCAATTTTTGCAGACATCAATGGCGCACGTGTTGTTTGATCGTCGCCAATCCTATTTTACTGCACTATTTTGTTATTTCACTGCAATGTATTTTACATTACATTTGAAAATTAAAATAAAGAAATATTCGTAACCCAGCAAGTCAGTTATTCTTTGAGGCAGCACTCTGTCAGCATTGAGCCTTCAGAATGTGCCATTTGATAGACTTTCCCACATTATCTACTCTTGTGGAAAACTTTCTTAAGTGATCAAAAATGTATGCACATATGAATAATTAGAACTTCATATTCAAAGTTTTATAGAAATAAAATTCCACATTACATTATCATAAGGCTACCTGTCCATTTCATCCAACCAATTAAATATTTATCCAGCAGAAGGGAGGTACCTCTGAGAAGGTACTGATATCTCTTATCTACACCAGTATTTCAGGAAAATGACAGAGACTGAGAAGCTATTAAAACTTCAGCGTATGAAAGGGATGTTATGACTTATGTACCTTGAAAAACATCAGATGCTTTTGAACCATCTCATTCACCAGCAAACATCAATCCGGCTCCTGGCTTCTGTCAAGGAAACATTTCAAAATAATGCATTATTTTATTTCATTGACCACCTTGCAAAAGACAAACAGCAAACACATCACCACCAAAAACAAAAACAGTCAACAGGTAGGTACCAGCTGATCTAGCCGTGCTGTGTCATGTGCCTTTGGAAAACTTTAGCAGTCAGGGTTGAATAAACACCCCAAAGTTAGCCATTCATGCATGCAGCATGAACAAGTGCAAAATCTGGTCGAGCATTTTAATAAAAATGAAACCAACAGCATTGTAGGTTACAATTATAAAAGACAATTACAAAAAAAACAAAAATAACAGCAGAGCTTACTCTACAAGGCATAACCATTAATTTTATAACTGACATCCAAATTCGCATCTCCGAAGTTTAACCCACCTACCAGCCACCTGCATATTTCTGCGCACATGTGCTGCGCAGTGTGCACAGTCACTACACATTACACAATTATGAGAATTAAAATAGTTTTGAACAATCAAACAAGTCAGGACTGGTATACAGATTCACAAGTTCTCTCAACATCTTCAACTACCAACAATCAAGAGCACCTTGTGATCTCAGTAACTCCGCAGATCCATCTTCTGTTTTCCATTTTCAGTTTTCAATTGAAATATAAGTTCCATCTGGGAGACACATGTTGCATCATTATGTTTAAACAATTATTATGCTTGAACTTTTGGTTTTTCATGTGAACTTCACTTCAAAAGTTGATTCAATTTTTAAAGTTGATATAATTTGTATAATGCTACACTGTAAACCAAATCTACAAGTTGGCTCCTTGTTACAAGTTTGGTTCCAATTCGCATAGGCGTCACCTTGTCGATACCTTGTCGATTCACCAACCCCAGGCTTGTTGGCCACCAAACTAACAGTTTGTCTACAAGTTTGGTTCCAATTCGCATAGGCGTCACCTTGTCGATACCTTGTCGATTCACCAACCCCAGGCTTGTTGGCCAACAAACTAACAGTTTGTCTACAAGTTTGGTTCCAATTCGCATAGGCGTCACCTTGTTGAGTACTAGTCTGGGCTTTGTGGACCTACCAACTTCTGGATAGGCGTAGTCGTTTCCTTGTCGGTTCACCAATCCCTGGTTTGTTGATGAACTAGCCTAGCCTTTGACTGGGCATTGCTAGCTTACAAATTGTCAACAAGTAAGTGTACTAACGCTCTGTTCGAACTCGCTCTTCCTTACAATCGCTTTGTTTGCGTTGATACTTGATAACCTTAACCCGCGCGGGGCTGGGGGGGGGGTAAATTTTACCCCCCCTCGCGAATATTTGCGATATCTCAAAAACGGCGGCGCGCAGCGCCGCCAAACTTTCAGTACCTTTTCTTACATCAATTTGACACGTTCCCTGAAAATTTGAGCGAAATCCGTCGGAAAATTTTTGAGAAATTGACGTTTTAGTGACGTCATGTTCGCCATTTTCGCCTCAAAAACGGCAAAAGTTCAAACGCCGCTAACATCTTCATTTTTAAAGGAATCAAGACGCAACAAAAAAGGTTATACGTAATTTTACTTTGTCTATCAAATGGCTATCTCGGTTTTTTAAAATTTTGGATTTTGGCCTAAATTTTTTCAAAAAACTGACTTTTTTGGGAAAATCATTATAAAATTTAAAATTTTGAGTCTATCGAAAAAACCGGAATATATGTCAGAGAAGTGGTCTATGTGCACCTACATACCAAATTTTAGAAGAATCGGTTCAAAAATGTGGGAGTTATTCAAAATTTTATGACGTCACGACACACAAAGTTTTGGAAAAATGACTTTTTTGGAAGTTCTAGACCTCGTACGGAAACAAAAATAGCACCATTCGATTCGCCGTGAAAAACTGCATCAGATAGACACCTTTTTAGGCCTTAACAACCAACTTCAAAATTTGACCTCACTTGACCTGACCTTGACCTGACCTCGACCTGAAATTCATCCAGAGGTGGTCCATATCACTTATTGAGTGTGCCTATTGAATTCCATGAGTAAAATGACCCATAAAACATGTGTCGCACATGCCCTTTTCTATATTTTGTTTTTTGGTGACCTGACCTGACCTGACCTGACCTTGACCTTGACCTCTGAATGATATTGTATGCAACGAATATTGTCTTGGTAGCCTAAGAACACGTTTTGGGCGATCAGTCTCAGTCCATGACTCCATTCTTCGGCAACTACGGTGCAAGGCCGATACTGTAGAAACTTGCAATTTGTACCCTTGACCTGACCTTGACCTTGACCTCAAACTTTAAATTAAGTACATGTTTTTAGTAGTTCGTGATGAGAGCTTTCGATTGGCGTTTGAATTTTCCAAATCGGACCATTAGTTCGGGAGATAACAGGGGGGGTAAAATTTACCCCCCCCAGCCCCGCGCGTTCGGCTGGAGACCCCAGCCCCGCGCGGGTTAAGAACTTACGATTCGCGTTCGTTTTCAATTGCCACGATACTGATTCAGGAAATATTTTCTATACGGACAGGTTATTTTTTGGCTGGAAGTGGTGCACAAAACCATGACTGGCATCAGTTATTGCTCAAAGGCTTGCGCTGACAAGAAACGAAATACTGATGGGTTATATAATCAATGAATGCATACACCACATCCATTCGGAAGTTTCTGGAATCATTAGTATTTATTACGGTCACGTAATTAATACTATTGACTGGAGACAATAATACTATTGACCGAGTGCATATTTCCGAATGGATGTGGTAAATGCATGAGGTAGGTATACCCAGTAGGTATACCTATCGTGCACCGTCAGCATATAAGTCTGAAGCAAGAACTGCTGCGTATGTGGAAGAACATGGTTTTGTGCACCGCATCAAGCCAGAAGTATAACATGGCCGTATGACGAATATTTCCTTAACATTAAGCATAACAATCATGGCAGTTGCACGATCACGCAGATAATTCGAATAAATCATGATCGCCAACCAGATTAGCTTTTACAGCCCATATATGTCCATCAGTTAAGTTAAAAATACAAAGAGTTGAATTAAAGGCAAATAAATGTATTTACATATAAAAAAACACCTACCGCAAAACATCTGCTCACATGTGCATGCACAGGTCTGGTCCACTTACATTGCGCGCGCAGGGGAAGGGAGGCGTCTCGACCGCGGGTATAGGCACGATTAGTGCGTCCCGCAGGCCAGAGGGGGCCTCACTCACAGCACGAACACCACAGTTCACAGATTTCACTTTTTACTGCACAAATGCTGGAACAGCCCTCGTCGCTGCTCCAGGCTGCACGGCGGCCGCGCGACAACTGCTGGTTCGAAACCGCCGCGCCGGGGCCC